TGGCTTTGCTGTATTGTGAGCAGCGGCATCATCTCACGAGCACTTGAACAACATCACAATCTCACGATCAGTAGACAGCTCGAGCTGGACGTCCGTCCAACACAACCGTGACCATCCGAGTCCCCCGCCGGAAACAGAGCACTCCCCGCGCCGCCCCAGTTGCGCCCTCGCCCGGGGGCGCCGGCCGCCAGTACGCTCCCGGCCGCCGAGATCGAAAAGCGGGTGCCAGAATGGCCCACTGCAACTCCTACAATTCATCACTAAAAACGCATCACTTGAGTTCAACCTAGTTTATTCAGGGGAAACAAATTGAAGGATCAACGCTGACCTTGCGCGCCCATCATTAGCTGGAGCGTGACGGCAAAAGGCGTCCCACATCATTCCGGGTTGGGATACTGCAATTATTTAACAGTGAGAATAACTATAACCCGCGCCCAGATGGGGTCTGCCGAGCAACGCGGTATGATGGGGGGGGGGGGGCATTTTGGCCCCCCCCCTCAGATCTCGAGAACCACGCAACATAGCGACAAGCGGTAAACGGTGTTGGATAGCCCCAACGGGGAACTACCTTGTGACCCAATTTCATTGACCTCGGTCAAACCGATGACGTCACAGGTCAGGTCAAAGGTCGAATTTTCACCGTTTACAGGCATTTCAAGAAATGCGTTGTAAAATCGAGTAAAATGCATTTCATTGAAAATCATCGGTGGAGAAATGTTCTTCAAACACATATTTTGCTATTTGAGGTCACTGATACCAGGTCAGGTCACAGAGGTCAGGTCACTGGGGGGTCACAATATGAAAGTGTCGTGTGATACATGTTTTATGGTCCATTTTACATGACAAATGCGATTATGTGGGTCAGACAGACTTTAGGGCCAGCTTAGGTCACGTTTTGGTCAAGGTCAGGTCAAGGTCAGGTCAAATTAGGTCAAATTTCAAAGTTGATATTTTTGCATAAAATGGGTATCGATTCGATGCAACTCGTCACGGGGAGTTCAATGGTGGTCTCCGTTTTGCGCTACGAGGTCTAGAATTGCTAAAAATTGAGTTCAAAAATTTGACGTCATCAATTTTTAAGTTTTTTTGCTATAACTTGGCCAAAAAAAGAGGTATCGATCTAAAATTTGGTATGTATATCGAAGAGCGTAGGGACTATCACATATATTCCGGTTTTTTTTCGAAATTCGAAAAAAAAAATTGGAAATTTTTTGAGTTTTTCTAAAAAAATCAATGTTTTGATTTTTCGGGGTCAAAATCCCAAAATTTCGAAAATCCGAGATAGCAGTTTTGTAGCGCCGTCTTTTCTCTACACAGCCACATAAAGAACTTTAAAATTGCTTGTTAACTGTAGAATTGGCGAGCGTTTCAAGATGTCATGTTTTTTGCTCATTTTTGCTCGAACATGACCTCAGTTTGACCTCAATAACTCCTGACCTGAGGTGACCTGTGACTTGAAATTTTGTGTGAAGGTGTCAAATTGATGCCCGGTAAGGTACCCAAAATTTGGCGGCGCTGCGCCCCGCCGTTTTCTCGCTATTGAAGAAAAACCACAGGGGGGGGGGGCAAAATGGCCCCCCCATCAGGGCGCGGGATAAACAATATTCATGAGTTTAAAATTTCAATGCCCGCTTTGCGTGTCATTTACTGACGAACTACACACGCAAAGCCAGGACAACAAAATACGAACATTGAATTACGTAGAGGCATTATTAGCGAAAACTGTTATTATATAAAAGAAACTATAGACACGCGTAGTTTTTCATCAAATTGGTGCAGCGATCTCTTTCAACGAATTTTCCCACTTTTTTACATTATATAAATCAACCAATAAGGGTGGTATCGACGCACCACAATCAAACCGCAGAGCTTAATAAAGCCTCCTGCCTTATTGCTCCTAGAAGTCTCCTCACATGACAGCTGCATAAGTTTTCAACGAACGGACGGCGCTAAGCGATTTTTGCGGTTCGTGTCGTTCACGTCACGATAGAGTATATAACGTGCCAATGATCATCTGTAAATGCCTCACATACAGGATCGCAGCCGTGAATATGATCCAGTTGTCTGTCTGTCTGTCCGTGACGTCTGTCCGTTTTGACTTCAAGAGACATAGTCATGCTTATGAAAATATAGTCGGAACAATACGGAACCAATTAAGTGACAGAAATGATTAATGCCTGATACGCTGCGTACCTACAGCAATTAATAGGTATTTGTTAAATTACCTTTTATCTTTCATTCGTTATTTTGTATTTTTGGCAGCATGCGTTTTTTTTTTTGTCAAGCAAGAAACTGTTGAACTCACAAATAACAGTGATGCATTATGAGTGTGTCTCGTGTGTTGCGTAATGCGTATGTGCGCGAGCGCGCCCGTGTGTGTGTGTGTGTGTGTGTGTGTGTGTGTGTGTGTGTGTGTGTGTGTGTGTGTGTGTGTGTGTGTGTGTGTGTGTTTTCTTTTACTTTCCGTCGTTGAATACCAACAGAGGTCAACAGTTTTCTGCAAATCAGCAGGCACAAACAGAAAACTTCTTGGCATTCACCAGAGTCTGCTCCTCTGCAGCGGACTTCATTCAACGCTTGACAAAACTTCAAATCAATCACGATTGTTCAGCACAGATTTGCGATGGCAGGAAAACTTGGGTAGCATGCAGGCATATAGGGTTAGCTAAAATTCAGCACGATGAAACGCGAAAAAAGATAAATTTGGCGGACATCGTGCTGATACTCGTAGGTTAGGATCAATAACATTATCATTCTCACGACCTCAAACAACAGCCAGATTATATCTTATCAGTTAGCTGGCACACTTTGGCAAGTTCTCGAGTGGTGCTACAGCGGAACTTGCCTCTAATCTGGGACTATTACAAGAGGACATTTTCCCCGTGTTCGGCAGTGTGGCTGCAGTCTCTGAACTCAACGCCCGTGACTCGTGAGCTGACAGTGACATTCGCTGAAATGGCAGCCAATTCCGCCCAGTGAGTCAGTGTTCGCGGAAATCGCTAAAACTGGCGGGCTTCATAGCTGGAATAAAAAGTTTGCTTGTAAAGAACGACAGCTTGACAGAGATGATCTCTGCTGTATGCGTGAATAAGAAATATAAGCTCATAAACTAGCTTGGGAATGTGAATTTTGGGACGTGTGAAAACTAGTCAGAAAAACCAACACAATAGGAAAGAAGACGAAGAACCACACGAATCCAACTCTTAAGATAAGATAGTAAGCCCGCATTCTAAAAGCTGAGACCGTTGTGGAATGCCCCCGTCACCACTGCGCGGCCGAGCCCCAGCGCCCATGGGCTCCATAGCGTGTGGCTATTGTACGCCGCCTGACCAGCCGGCTGTACCGCAGCACAGCCGAGCGCTGCGGTACAGTCTACCTATGCAGTATGCAGGCCATGTCCCGCCCGGCGCACCGGCAGCGCGACACAGCGAGCGAGGGAGCTCCGTGATACGTCCACCTCGAGATCTGAGTGACGTCGGTCTCTAAGAACATAATAAAAAATGCAGATTTCAATCCGCGTCAAATTTTATCCTGAGAAGTCTTAGACATCGTTATTACACAGACACGTAGTAAATCATAATATTACTCCAACTCCATGTGAAGTCCTCGATGCATTGTTCTCAGCATAGGTAGATAATTGTGCTGGACTGTGGGTGCTCGAGCTCACCCAATTCCACGCCGGCTTGGCTTTGGAGCCGCAACAGACTGTGGAGGTCAGGGTCACCGCTAGGGAGGCGGCGGATTTGCTGCGCCGGAGCACCCACAGTTCGGCACAATTCTCCACCTATGGTTCTCAGAAGCAGAGGGCTGTTCGGCTGCGCAGCAAAAATGAAATATGCTGCAGCACGCATGCGCAGTGGGGACTTCGTCGCCCGTTAGTCCCGCCCACACCACTGCGTCACCGCCTGTGTGACGTCACCTACTGAAGCATACTTCGTTTTCCTGCAGCACGAAATTCGGTGCTGCAGGAGGCGAAAGTGGCGCGGATTAAAGTTTACCGTCCGATATTTCTTATTGTAAGCGGTTTGTATGCTGTTTTTTGGGTATCATTATCACTCTTTTCGGTGGCACATTGCTATTAACCACATTTGAACGCAATTTAAACGTTATGTGAGCGACAATCACCAGTCAACCCGCGCAACGGTTCGCCGCGTTTGAAATATGCTGCAGCGACGCTCGGCCGCGGCGTGCCGGCGGAGAGTGGGCGGAGCCAGGCGGTTGACGTCACCCAAGTATGACGCACGCAGCACAGATCTATGCTGCAGGGACCCGAACAGCCCTCAGTTTATGAGCACTTAATGTGAACTGTCAGAACGCTGTTGAGCTGCAAAAGTTTTCAGTTTAATATTGCACTGTCGTGGCGGATGTGACTTGAAACTTTACCGTGACGTCAACTAGGACACTGGGTCCACGGGTGATACCGGCTAAGGTCTGCGCTTACCTACCGACCGATCAGGGTTGCCGTGATCGTCCGATCACGTGACCGTACGGTCCCTCCCCCCCCCCCCGGAGCTCGGCAGAGCCCATCCCAGCGGAATAGCATCACATTACGAACAGGAGGGCAGGGAGAGCATCGTTAGTGTGTCTGACACTTGGAGTATCCACTTTCCTGTATGTGACGTGTGTGACCGTGACGGAGATGTTTGGAGCTGATATTCTCAGTGGCAAAATCTAACATTTCTTCTTCGCCTAGTCCGGGGAGCATACAGACATCTGTATCTGTATCTGAATGTAGATATCCTAAACCGTCAGGTCATGCAGATGAGATAATTCGAAATACGTCTTTCTTAAGCGAATACCGCGAAATGCGAATCACCTACGTAGATAGTTTGGGAATATATAAGTACAGGATCATTGAATACCTATCGACTTTAACATGGCTGGACATTAGAATGCCACTTGAGTGACTGATGAAAAATTAATGACGCCATCTTACCTGAGCACGCGTCACTTTCACATTTTCCCAGTACAACAAACACGCTCACAGACACACACTGCGATGCCTTTCATGGCCATATATTCACTACCTGAGTTTGAGTAAACCAGAAGTAGCAAATGAGCAGAATGCATCACCAATCTATCCCTCTGTCCGTCGGCGTCCCTCCACTCCTTTCACTCTTTCTCACAGGCCAGTCCGAATGACATAATCCAAACGCCTCGTCAGGGTAAATCCAATGTAAAAGATGAGACGCGCACTATCAGCTATATAGTAAGCAGAACCGAAATGGCCCGCCGATAAAAAAGGACACGGACAGAGCGACAACACGTCATCCTCACTCTTTCCCACCCCCCCCTCTCTCTCTCTCTCTCTCCCGCTGCCCACCCAGCTGCACGCGTCTGTCTGTCCAGTACGTAGGTCCCCGTTAGGAGCTAGTCACAACCCTCAGCCCGCGGCCGGCCCTCGCCCTAGAGCACCCCACCAAGTGGTCACAGCTGCGGCAGTTTCAGCTCGCGGCGGATGTAGAACAGGATGTAGGCCTTGCACTTGGCTACCTGTTCCTCCTCTGCTCGGCGCACTGTACTGTCGTTGAAGTGGTACCAGGCTCCTGTCGGCAGAAAGGGGGGGAAAGTCAGATCACGGGGTTCAGGTCAGCTGTTTCAGGGGGGGGGGATGGATAGTGGGCTCTCACGGATGAGACATCGATCAATATGATCTGAGACAACAACTGTCTAATCTTGCAGCGCATTGTATAGGGTGGTGTGGGTTTTGGAAATGTGTATATGACAGCCAGATGACCCCCACCAGTCAACTCATGATCATATAACTTAGTGAGAAGTCATCTCCAAACTTAGTAAATGTTTCAGCACACGGTCAGGCCCTGCAGAAACGAGCGTGATTCGTTCCATTGGGCGTCCGACAATTGGACGAAATACGGCGTGGTCGGGAGCTCTGGCTCGCTCACAGACTCTGAGGAAAATGCTATAAAAGAATCCGGCCACAAACCAAACTTAAAGCACAAAACAGTACGCTCATGGTACCTTTCCTAAAATCCGGCAGACAAAGACTATGGAAATAGACTGCCAGTTCATTCTCGCAAATTGCAGAGCTAATGCCAACGAACCAAGTTTTACCTAATCCCATGAAAACACTGATCAGATCGCTCAAATTAATCTCCCTGAACTGTCCAACCCTGCATAGACGTCCACATCAGCCTTACAAAGTCAGCGGGACTTCATTTCCACGACCGGTAGGCGCGGCGTGATATCCTCACACGATAGTGTAATTAACAAACTAGTGATGGACGGCACCGGCCGCCCAATCAATGGAGCGGCGTTAGAGCCGGCGCCACTAACTCACTGAGCGCTGACGGGAGCCGGGCTGACCTGGCGGGCTGACCTGGCGGGACAGAGCGGCACACTGGCGCCTGACCCACTCTGTCGGGGGCGGCTGGACGCTGGGACGGTGAGGGAGGGGCGGGTAGAACCGATGGGGCTGAGCAGACCGTGCGTGAGGGAATATGGGAGGTAGCGAAGATAATCACTTATGCAATGCAATCACCATTTATGCGCTGGATAAGTCGATTGTAGTACCTAACGCCTATCTTCTTTTCTGTGATGCTTCAGATCAGTACCACAACCCCCTTTTTTTTTGCTTATTCTTACCATACAAGTATGGAAAACAAAATGGAGCAGAATAAAAACTTTCCCATTTGAGTTTTACCAATTACTGTGGGCGCTGCATTTAAATGGAAAGCAGACCTCTCATGCAGTATGCATTGCTTTTAGCTTCAGTCCGTTAATGTGAAAGGAATTGGAGCCATTCTCCCGGCATGAATATTCATGCGAATTAGTGGCTCCAAGACTGTACTCCACCGACAGTATCTATTGGCCAGGATTGGCGCCTCCGCCTGCGGCGAGCTAACGCTGAATGGCTTAGGAAAATTCAGCACTCCAGAACAATGCATATTTCATGCCTCAGTCGAATGTGGTGGCTCTAGTGTTTAGCTACTCAGAGACTGATTTATGGTTCAAAGAATGCAGCACTGACTCGTCGTGAGGTATGTTTGCAGAGCTGGAAATTACTTTTTATGAATGAAGGAAATTGACTGTTGCGGGCTCCAGGAAGACGGATCTTTCGTGTTGCGCAAGTACGACAAACACGTAAGTAGATTGAGCCTAGATTTCGGTCAAACAAACTAATAGAAAACCAAACAAATCAACCCGAAAAATTGAAGAAGACATCAAAAGGACCACAAATGAAAACTAAGACAGCATATCGAAAGAGGAATTATTCAAGCGAGCCTACTTAAAACACTGAAGTTGAACCAGCCTAAACAACGGACAAAGCCTAAACAAAGTTAAAAACCAAAACATGGATGGGTTTCACCAACGCCTCCTTTCTCCTATTCGATGCACGGAACCAATACCAACAGCAGGGGAGCGAGTTCTACTGCGTCTTATCTATCAAGCGCATCCACCTCTGGGGATGGATCAGGGGAAGGGAGGAGGGGGAGATTGAGGGGGGGGGTGAATCCCCTCCGGCAGCCAATATCCGCGTGCCACCACCGCCACCCCAGTTAAACGCCTTCAATGCATCGCAGTCATTTCTCAGAGGCCTTCTATCGCGCGACTCCCAGCCCCATTCTGCGCCCGTAATGCGCGCCACTTCAAAGGCGCAACGCGGCCGGCGCCGTTTCATTTTGTCGTGAAATCGCCCTGCGGCGGCCGGCGCGGTCCTTTAGGCGGCATAGGGCGGTGCGGCGAGACTTTGGCGCCACTGCGCCGTCACTCAGCCCAACTTGGCCGCCGTCTGTGCTGGCAGCTTCCAGCCACCAGCCGGCTTCATACGGCGCCGAGCGCGGCGACAAATGTGGCCCGGCCGCGCCCGGCAGCGCAGTGATTAGACACTTGTAGCGCATTTACCGCCCCGCCGGCTCAGCGTGGCATGTCTATGCAGGCGGCCGCTGAAAATACCCTCAGTCCCTGATGCCGCACAGCCCGCGAAATACGACCCGTCGAGATGAGCTACGGCGAATGAGGGCCACATAGTAAATCCCGCCTCTTTAACGCCAATGGAGAAGACCTCGCGAAATCCACACAGAGGCACATTAGACCACTCGAATACGTTGTTAAATGCTCGTCTTAGCGCCCAAGTTCCGATAAGGCGCGTGCTAAATTGGTTCGATTCTATTCGCGACGCCAGCCGAGAGAATCGTGTCATCCATCTTTCTACAGACAGATCTCGCTCCTTTAACGCATGCTCGAACGACGCCAGGGCTGATCGAAGTTACGTAAAACGGGAGTCAGGGAGAGCCAGGGAGAGAGAGAGAGAGAGAGAGAGAGAGAGAGAGAGAGAGAGAGAGAGAGAGAGAGAGAGAGAGAGAGAGAGAGAGACCGCAGCCCTGTAAAGCTTACAACATTGTAAACATCAAACGATCCGAACAATGGCATCAGAGAGCGTCGCGCCATCACGCGGGATCCACCATTGCCGCCAGGCTCCCCCTCCCCTCCCTGGCGAGCCGTGCTCGGTAAACACCAGCCATCAGCGGGGCGGGGGAAGGAGAGGGGTATCTGTTGCGCCTCGCCGCACCGACGCGTCACTGCCGACGACCGAAAACAAACCAGACGTGACCCGACCCACCGGCGACCAAACACATTATCACCGCCGCCGGCGCCACAGAGCGCACAGAGGCAGTCCGTGGATAAATGGCTGAAATGAGCCACTAACCTGCTTTAGCTGTGAGTCGCGGCATCAGAACATCACTTAGTCAACATATGATGCGTTTAGTCTAGACCAAAGATTTCACGGGAAATCAGGCACGACGTGAGTGAAAGCCGGTGTGGCGTCGGGCGAAGGTTGCTGCCGGCGTCGGCCGAGGACCGACCCCAGCGTCGGAGCGGGGTCAGGTCCAAAGGTCACCACTCAGCACTCAGCAGTCAACACGGCCGCCGGGTCAGATCTCGCGTGGGGTGCTAACCATCACCAAGGCGGACGGGCCGACCTTCAGCTCAGCTCAGTTTATTTGATTCTTTTTTACATGAAATACACCCGCATAACAACATTCATAATAGTGGATAGCTGCAAAACAAAGCATGGTTTCCTTATGTGGTATGTCGAGGAACAAACATGCCGAGGACGGGAGACTAGGACAGACAACTGGTGAATAGAGCAGAGACAGGCGGCTGTCAGGTCACCACGGCAGACGGACCGAGTCTGGCGCCGCCGTCATAAGCGATGCCGAGTTCGTCTGGCCTCTGATAGCCCCGTCGGCCGCCGGACCGTATTATACGGCGCCGGGGTCGCCCGGCAGCTCAGCCGGCAGATTGTTCCGCATTAAACCGGCGGCCGACTTTTTATTTTGGGAACATAGGGCTCGGATGAGGTTTGCAGAAAAGACGAGAGCGATGACGAATACCAGATATTGACCTTAAGCGGTAGCCACAACTTCAAGTTACAAATGACGCCCAAAATGTGGTTTTCTAGAGACTAACGAACAGTGATGAAGCCCAGATAGTAAAACAGCCGTTGCAGCTCGTAACGCCGCATCAGATGTTATTCCAAACACTCGTTTCGCCGAGGTTGACCTTCAGTGCCGCAACATTTGGACGTAGAGGGTGTCCCAGAAGTCTTGAAGCCATCTCGGTCATGTGTTTCTCACATGCGCACGCATAGCAATAAATAAAACTTGGTCATTTATAAACTACATGAATCAAATGTTCTGATGCATGTGATTGGCGCCAGGTTGATATTGTCTACAGCCCCATAATACGGCGTCATGTCAAAGGAAGGAAATGGGCTGTATCCTAGCGCGCTCGAGTAGTCAAGCTATATTTTCGAATATACTCGTATGTGTGAAAGCAGCCCTAAAGGCCAGGAAACTTTTCTGCTGCTAGCGCACCCTCGGGGAATGCAATACGCCAGTTCGTGGTCTGCTTCAGGAAACACTACTCTGAAACCGAGAAGAAACGGGCATGGCGACACCGGAGTGTTGCAAATCAGAACTTGACGGCGGCGGAGAGCGTGCTCTCTCGCGCTCGTTCTTGTGGGACTCACAACGGGGTCACCTGATTGGCACATGAAAATACAAAACTACCGTTTATTCTCTTTCCTTTGAGGTATGGCTGGTCTTAATCGGTGGCATAACACGGTCAAGTGTTCTAACGAATAACGTAAGTGTTCTAACGAATTTCAGAAGATAAAGCCATATTGCTTCAACGATTTTTTTATAGGAGCGTTACATCATGTGTGCTAAATATTCGAGGAAAAAACGATCAATTGCATTTAGCAAACTCACTAAATATACATGAACTTCTTGATTTACAAACTGGTAGTCTGAATAACATTGAACTTCCACTGCAAACATCTCCAACACAGCGGAAATATCGCCAACAACTAGCCTGTCCTTTTCCTCCTGGCGGGACCTCTGAGAGCCGCGCAGATATTCATCATCAATATTCTCCGCCTCGGCGTGGGCGTTGCCGGCGCGGCGGCGGCAGACGGGGCGCACCCAGGGTCCGCGGCGGCGAACGTGGCGCACCCAGAGCCCGCGGCGCGCCGTTATTGTCACAGGGCGGCGGCGGCGTGGCCGATAACCGTACCTACCCCTGGGAGGGGGCTGCCGGCTGCCGGAGGCACTGCTGGCGCCACGCTATCGACGGGGAACAGCCGTCGCGCCGGGCAGATGGAGTGGCGGCTTTTTGTGCAGATCGGACCCGGCCGCGACGCCGTCACCCCCTGGGTCCCGTTGGATCACAAATTACCTATCGATGGGCCCACTGATGATGCAGTGGGTGATTGGAGGTCACATCAGCTGCCGAGGCGATTCCGCGCCTTTCAAGGGCTACTCACGGGGAAAATAAATGACCTTCGCCCACAACTTACTGGGGACTGGTAAACAGGTGTTCCTATTTTTACCGAGCTGCATGGTATCTTCAAAAGGGTGCCCGAGAAAAAATTGCCATGTTCGTGAGGTATTTTGGCTTTATGAGTGACTATTTCATTTTTTAAGAAAAAAGTACTTTTCAGCAATAACAAAAGGACGTCCAAAACTTGCATAGCATCACATCTCCTGAAAGATGTGTCACAAAGTCTGTGAAGCCATGCCATCATAGGCGAATCCTGCCGTAACTATTGGCCCAGGAAATTAAGTCGCACGACGCTAAATACCCCAGCAACTGAAAGGCTAAAGCGATAATAAATGATAAAAGCTGAATGCACTAACAGCGACCGGAAACCGGTCGCGATAAAAGCGGTAATGGAAAGCTTGGAACCACAGAAGCCGCCAAACGCTCGTCTCCAGCCGTGGACAATAAAAAACCTGGCAAACGAAGAGACGAGACGCATCAATAAAAAACTGTAAACTATAAACAGGAACTGCTGTAGACCTTTCAACAACGCATGCCAACAACGGAAAATGGCCAGCTGTACGTGCAAACATACCAATGTTGTGCCATTTGGTGTTGCGATTTGACGAGATAAACACGTTTTCTGGAGCATTTTAACTCGATCTAGAACAGAAACTAAAAAAAAAAAAAAAACGGATGCGCCGAAATAGTAATGTAAAGCGAAAAAAGATGATAACGAAAGTCACGTTCACCTATGAGGGGGTCTCCACTCTCAGTACGCAGGATACCGAGACTCAGCTTCAATTCAGAACCATCGAAGTCAAACCGAAGTCACCGGTGACCAAGAGAGCCAACCCTACTCTCCACGTACAAGTCTCGCGGGTTTTAGCGGTAGGTTTTGCACCTAGAAAATTTAGTGTAGGTACTTCAGGCTATATCTTCGTCGTCTTAACTTTTTAAGTGTTGAAGATGCGATCGACTTGTTGGTTCACAAGCCGGCCATGATCGTGTAAAATGGCTTCATCGTAGATCGATTAGTTTCTGAGATATATCCGGAAATGTAAAAGTGCAAAACCTACCGCTTAATCTCGCGAGAGCCGTACCATCAGATCGGCGCGGTGTGTTTGTTTCCATAAGCGCTAATGGGAGTACACTGCACATCCATTGGTTAATGTGGGCTTTTGTTAGCGATAATGGGTTTGTGAAAAACAACAGTGCACTTCTTTACCTGGTAATGGAATTCTACCTCAGGCTCAACTATTCGATAGCTTGGCTGGGGAATTGAATAAGCTTTCATATGCTAACGGACTAATAGAATACTAACAGCAAGACTCCGGATATGGCTGTGATTGAAAAAAACTTGATCGATATAATCACATTCAGTCAATCATTTTCTATTCTGAACTTAAAATAAAAAAAGAAAAAGAACAGACAACCGCGCCGCGCAGGTCATCATTGGGAAGCGGCCCCAAACAACATCATGGAAAAGCGTATCATCATTTCTTTCTCGGCGTCTTTTGGGCCGGCTAATTTACGTTACCGGCGGAGCGTATTTCTTTTGGCAGTGACACGGCCGTCGGGGGACAATGCCGGCCAATTCTGCACGAGTCACGGCGCTCTCCCGGGAAGAACCACGGGAGTTACAAGCGGCTGTCCCCAGTGAGGGTATGATAGGTATATAGTGAGGTGGAGCCGCGAGTGACGCCAGCCGGCGCTCGAGGAGGGTTGGCAGGCGGCCCTGTTCAGATAATTACGCATAAAACAAACAGTCCTACCTATGAAATAAAAACCGCCTGGGGAAGGAATTGGGTTTGAGTGCTTGACTGCAACTGCTATGGATTAAAAACTACTCGACGAGTACCTAAAATAGAAAATATCGGATTCTCAAACTAGCCTGGGTTTTACTGACAACACGCAGATTTACCGACGCTGATATGAGAGCCTCTAAAATTGACCCGCACTCTTGTTCGAGGTATTCAAAATTGACAAAGGCTTTTCCAAAGGTCTGTAAAAAAAAAAACACACACACACACACATGAAGTGCTTACAGTTTGTGCAATTTCGTTGTCTCAAACCCTGCAAAGCCCTCGTTCTTAACAGACTACGCCATCATTCTCGATCTTCAAAACCACACTACCATCCCATCCTCTCCTCCATTCCTCTCTCTCTCTCTCTCTCTCTCTCTCTCTCTCTCTCTCTCTCTCTCTCTCTCTCTCTCTCTCTCTCTCTCTCTCTCTCTCTCTCTCTCTCTCTCTCTCTCTCTCTCTCTCTCTCTCTCTCTCTCTCTCTCTCTCTCTCTCTCTCTCTCTCTCTCTCTCTCTCTCTCTCTCTCTCTCCCCTCTCCACCCACCTGCGTTGCTGGCGAAGGCCGTGTAGTGCCCACTACCCGCTCCCGAGCCGTGGTGTACGATCACGGCGGCCAGGTCATACAGCTGACCCCCGGCTGCCGAGCGGCGCGTCTCGGGAACCTTTCCCAGCAGGTAGGAGGACATGTCCAGCGCCCGCACCGGGAACGCTAGCGGCACGTCCAGCTTGGTCCGGTAGTTGTTGCACCAGCGGAACCGCTTCACGTGCACACAAAGCACCTGGGGGAGGGAGAACGGGAGTTACATAAAGCACCTGTTGAGGAACACCTGATAACGAAGAGTACTTACATTACGAAGGAGTTTATATACCTACATAAACACAACTGTAAATTATGCTGTTTTGTAAGGTGCATGTTAATCTCTGTGTTAGGCTTGGTTATTCGCAGATCACCCTTCTAGAGGTTAAGTTATTTGAAGAAGTTTAAAAGGCTTTACGATCTAAGCCAGAGATTCATCTCTTCCTTACGAATACATGAAGTAGGGAATGCGCTCAAAGCCTATTTAGGCGAGCTATGAACGTAATTACAAACGTTGATAGCTTTAGTCAAAATTTTGAGTGGACTCGGACGTGCAAGGCAGTGTCTTAGAAGACAAACCCAGTTTCGCGGGCGGGTGCAGCTTGTAGGGAGATCAATTAAGGGAAGCAGAATGCTTTAATTCATTTTTACGGATAAAATAACAACAAATGGAACGCATGCCCGAAATAACTTTGCTAAATAATCATTGGATAAAATCCCCCCCCCTCCCCACAAAAACGCAGTGACTAATATAATGCCACAAAAACAATATTCTTCGCATATTCCTAATCGATTTGGTGTTAACCGTATCAAAAAGCATAACAACTACGAAAATAAGCGCAATATGTTTGTCTTGGCTAGATGGTGTATCAAGAAGCCCTTTGCCCCGGACAGGTTGCCGCCATGTTTGACTCCCACTCGTCCACTTTGCCCACCAAGCGATCACAAAATGCATGAGCTTGGCATGGACAATCCCAAATAATCCCCCATAACAGCGCTGATACCGTCTGAGAGAGCAATGTAATCCCCTCAGAGCTTCGGCAGAGCGGACATAAAGCATCCATCGTCCAGCTTTGTCCAGAACCGAGGCGCCCTCGGCGTGGACATATATACCGCCGGATTTGTTGAGAAGCGTACCTCCCACGCACTTCTTTGCCAGGCTCTGTGTTGCCATCGACACCGCGCTGAGACTCTTGACTCAGTTGGTGAACGGCCGTTGGACTACGGTGGATGATATCAATGATTCTGTGTAATTTTAGCCTTCGGGTCCAATCTTAATGATGATATTTTTTCAACGTGTGTTTAAAAAAATAAAAATAATGCTTGAAAAAATATTTACCTATTATTTGGGATCTTGAATGATATTCAGAGAAATACCTGGACATGGAGACCAGTTGAAGTCATGCGTTCTCTTAAAATGTGTTGCCACGATAGGATTTTTTTTTGTATTTAACAATCAAATTAGACTACAGCGAGCTGAAAGCTCTGGCCATCTCAAACATTCCCTGTTTCTGAGCGTCCACCTTGAAGCGTTATGTCTAAAGACACGCAAGTTTTGACGGAAGCGGGTAGGATGATGGCCCGTTAAACACACTATACTCTGTTCCGTTTCAAGTTTGCAGCCGAAGTGCCCTGCTGAAAGCAGTGCGTGATTTCTGTATATACAGCTCTTACATTTTAAGCGCAAATCCTTGAGAGGAGGAGCGATCTGCCGAAGAAACTCCAACTGCAAGCTTGATATGGAACAGACCAAGGCCCGAACAGACTATAATCGTGCTCTCCACAGGAATGGTCTGCCATTGGATGTGAGCAATAATTTCAGTTTTCCTTATGGTTAGTTTTGGTCCAATCACAAACTGTCAGGAGAGGTTTCTCACAATGTATAAGCTTGTGAAAAATATATTTGCAATGAAAGCTTATGGGTCGTGGCTTAGTGGAAGCAACACTAAAAAACTATCTAGTTTCCTTTTGAAACTGCACCTTACTCTCTACACACTGAAAGGTCGGATCACATGCGTGGGCTAAGATAGGTAAAAATCAAAATGATGTGACAAAAACCACTGAACGTTACTTGATGGAAGCATTATGCAAAAACGGTCCCAAAAATACCGTAATCATATTAAAGTTATAAGTTTATGTTTAGACACTAAAAAGCAAAGCAAAAAGAGCTTCCTCAGATCGGTTTAAATATCAGCTCTGTTTATTCGGTGACTGCGCCCTGCCACTCACGTTTGGTAGGCGCCGTATCCAGAACTTTTTGGTGGACTTTTGCCGCTGTTTACAGTTATTGCAGTAGTAGAGTTCTGTGTCGGCCAGCTCCTCCACGTCCAGAAACAGGTCGAGACAATCTGCGAACAACACAAACAGTGCTCAGACGCGCGGCTTGGACACGACTCAGCTCAGCAGACACACGGCAAACACGGCAAATGTATGGCTCAGACGAACGACAAACATTGCACAGTGCACTGGCACGGCTCGGACGAACGCGGACACGGACAGCACAGGTGAGGCTTAGAAGGACAACACGACGACGCATACACGGCTCAGGCGTTGTCGTTGTCTTGGGTTAGGGCGCACAGCCTCTTGGGCCCAGGCGTCCAAAACGGCTAAGGCGGACGGCTCAGAGACAGCCACAGGCACGGACGCCCGTGATATGATGATGCACACAACCTTTCAATGTTCTCATTGACCATTGGCCATTGACCAATGACCATAGCTACACTGCGCAGACACTGAGTCATCATCAACCACATCAACCGTCTTTTCAAAGCGATGAAAGGCACATCAAAGCGTCGAAAGACCACACACCTGTCGAATGTAATGAGATTGATAGACCCTCATGATGCTTCTATGAGGCACAGATGATAGCTCATGAAAAGGCACTATTTCCATGCCTCATTCGATGCTGGCAGGACACCACATCAGTCGCCTTTTCACTGTTCAAAGAGGCCCCTCATAATCCGTTTTCAAAAGAACTAGACAATATCATTTGCTGATTGGTTGTTAGACCATTATTAGCACCATACAAATGCTGAAGAAGCATTGCTTTTCATAAATTATCATCATTGACAATCTATAATATTTATGGATATTCAAGATCAAAACCATACTCCGGATACAGAAGGGGAAAAAATATAGCGATGGAAAGTCCAAAACCCAGTACAAGCAGCCCATGCCTCTAGCCCTACAAAGCACCACCAATGACTTGTTTCAATCACGCAGGCTGGAAAAGGGAGCGCCACCAAGTCTCGAAACCGACCACCAGCGGACAGCTAGGACCCGGCACTTCCCATCACCACATATACCTCAGATCCACTGGTCTGAGAGCAGAACAACGCTCACCGCATTTTACAATGAAAGTAGTCGAAAATCTACAGCAAAAGCATGAATAAGTTAATATAGTCGAAATACCACATAAATACCACACAAATACGCATAAATACCACAAAATACAAACGTAATACACAAACGTAATACAAAATACAAACGTATTTTGTAATGCACATTCGCCGTACGTTTGTGCTGTACTTAAATACGTTTCTACTGTGCACATAAGTCGTAACTGTAACTAGGTGCGCAGGTGCTATCACTCTAGAATCTGTGGTAAATTAGTGAGCCTTTCCGGCAAATATGGGCTGTCCCAATTGGAGATCATTGCTAAATGAAAAGCGTACAAATACATGGTAACTCAAATGAATACATCCGTGATTCGGACTCATCTGCTTTCATGTGAACCAACAAACGAGCTCATGAGAGCTGCTGACAATACAGATCGACGCGTAATAATTCATATGACATGGGAGAACTTGCGGAGATCAAAGTCCTACCAAGTTATAGCGGTGTTCATAGAGCTGAAACCTCATATATATTCATACAGACAAAAGCACCGTGGTAGCGCTGTCAGAGCATCCGTCATATACCTACTGAACGGTAAACACATGAGGAGCTGCATTATCAGAAGCTCTCAAGCCACATCGTCGAGCACAAATGACTTCCTGGATAAGTAAAAAATATGCGATTCGCTGTTCTTCCCTAACTAAAAACCGCGCACCGCTTGCACATTGCACATAGCAAGACATATTCCTAGTGACCAGGAAACGTCGAGTTCGATGTTCAGAATCAAAGCAAGCAGAAAAAGATAAGAGTTAACCCGCGCACCGACGGGGGGGGGCGGATATCCGCCCCCCCCTGAGGTTTTTCGCGGATAGCGGGAAAACCGCGGCGCGTAGCGCCGCGAAATTTGGTATGACTATTCTCTCATCAATTTTACACATGGTGTGCAAGTTTGAACCTCCTAACTTTTAAGGTCAGGTCACCAGGTCACTTTGAATGACCCAACCTCAAGTCACTTTTTTGCAACTTTGTCACCGTGCCAGAGCTACAGTAGATGTCGGAGGCCTTTGAAAGTCGCAGGATGTTATAAGGTCATTAGTAGCTACAATTTGTATATCTCGGAATTTTGATGTCGGTGACCTAAGGTCAGGTCAATTTCGCGACCTCCCCATTATAAGTCAATGGGGGAAAAATCAACTCCCTGTTTTTACCACTAAAACGGGTCGGAATAGCCTCATATACCATACATGACTTCACATACGATCAACCTTCACTACCTTCAGGTCTGTTTTGCTGTTGGGCAGCTGTAAGGTCATGTGACGTCATCAAAGGTCACCAAAGGTTTTTTGCCAATAACTCCTTACAGGAACAAGATACAGCCGCGCGGATGGTCTCATTGTGTTCAGCTCGTCAAGACGCATCGAATGATATACATGATGACCTCGAGGTCACGTGACCTGAGGTCAACCTTTGACCTTGACCTTTCGAGGTCAACATATATATCATTCGATGTGGATTGACGAGAGGATCACGATGGTGCCCTTAGTTTGTTCCTATCTTGACTACTTCGAAAGTTATTCGAGAAAAAACCCTCTCCATATCTAGCGCCGCCATTTTGACTTTTTCGACCCCTGTGACGTCATCTTTGACCTGACCTGAAAATGACCTTAGTAAAAATTGTAGACCTTGTCCGTGCGTATCCGATGCCGTTTACCGCTTGTCGCTATCTTGCTTCGTTCTCGAGATCTCAGGGGGGGGCGGTCATCCGCCCCCCCCCGTCGGTACTAAGTTGGCGCAGACCCCCGTCGGTGCGCGGGTTAAGAACGCAAAAGTCACACATTCAGGTCGGCTGTCAGACCAGCTGGGCATCAGAAACCAGCCTCAGACGGGTCGACTATAGAATCATCTCTCGAAACCCGCTCGCCGCAAAACAAGCCCTTCGGACGAGCGCCTGTGGTTTTATCCCCGAGACTGGCGCGGATCGCATCCATTTGGACACCAAAGCATCACAGGCATCACTATGCCGGACGTGTGAGGTTCGCACTCCAAACATAAAACTCCACCAATGGAGGAGCAAAAAGCGACCAGCGCCCGCGCGAGAACTCCGTTTCCGGAAATAAGACCTCGTCACCGGAAGCTGTTGTTATTCTGAGGACGGGATAGGTCACAGACAGTCTCCCGGCACAGACACTCGCTCCTCGCGCTGTTTTAGCCACCCCGGACAGCCAGATACGGTTCACTGCCGACGGAGCAGCAATACGGCAGTGTGGGAGGAGGCGTATTTCGATGGAGATATAAAGAAACAATGCGGCTGTTGGATGACAAATTGGATGGTCTTAAGCAGGGCACTAAAGAGTCGTCTTAACACGACCGTGTGGATGGATAACGTGTGGGCGTGCGAGAAAAGAGTGAGGCAGGCAGTTTATTTTGATTTTCTATTTATTTACATCGCTAGTCTGAGACAAGCAAGCGGTTTATGTTTATGTTTATGCTTAGGTATGTTTATTCGTACCATGTATGTATAGTTGTATTTTGACAAGCGCTGCGCTGGTTTTATGTCGTGACTGCACCTATTATTGGGCACGATGCCCCGGTTGATAGCTTTTCAAGGCAAATATTCGCTAAAGGAAAAAAAAACTATCTGAACCCGGTTTTCACGTACGCATTGCTACCCTGACTAGTGACTAAATGCTCCATCTTACTCCTAGCGTGAGTCCTAACCATCGATTTCTCCATCTGAGCACTGCGCAATTCCAATCACCCGTTGGGCAAATGCTATAACAGTGCACCCGCGCGTCCACTGAATAGTGTGTTACCAGGCGGATGGAGCCATTGTACAGAATTTTGGAGCGCTAAGCGAACCGGAAAATAATGACGACGGCAAACGTCCGTCATAAAAGAAACGCCAGAGCCCAGGGCAGCACTGGGGCAGCATCACGGCCATTGGATGTTTTTCAAGCTCACAGCACATGCAATATGAGCACAGGCACACCCGGGCGTGGAGAGCGCTGATAAGGCGAAACGAATAGACGCTCCATACGTTCCAGCCCTGCCTATAGCGGATGCCCAACTCCTTGCACAGATATTTCGAGAACGGCGGCAAACACCGGGTGAGTGGGTAAATTCGAAACACCGGCCCCAGCTGCCAACCCCATCATGAACGCCAGCAGTCAACAACAGTCACAGTCGGCAAACAAACCCTTTGATCCGCCGTTCGGAGTTGGTCAAAGGGAGCCAGCCGGCGCCGCGAGTCGGCGCTCTCGGCTTCAGGGCAGGCTTCTGCTCTGATGAACTGACTTCGATAAGTTGAACGAGATCACCTCGATCACGTTGGCAATCTCGAAAAACAACGCCCTTCCACACTTTCGCGTAAAAGCACGTCAGTTAGCAAACGACAAATGACGCCCCGTACTAAGTAGCTAAGTCTCATCCCCTCCTTCTAGCAAAAATATAGCACTTTCTCCATCATTCTCTTACCATCAACCCTTCTAATCAACCGTCCATTTACTCTCTACGGCTCAGGCCCAAACCCCCGGCAGAGCTCACATCTCCGCCAGAGTTGCCGTTGGAACTGGAGAGCCGGCGGTGGGATGGCCGCCGCATGGCGCGTCATATTTCCGGCCCGACGGCGGTGGCCTTAATTGGTCCACCGATCTGGGGCGTTGCTGGGAGCGTGCCGTCCGAGGCAGTGGTCACGCGGGGTCAGACCTGGTCAGACCGGGTAGGACGGCGGGAGGTGACATTATGGGTATATAGGGCCTTGACATTATGTCAGGACAGAGAAGCAGGGCTGAAACACTGTGAAAATAATGATCAGCTTTATATTGATTGGTTTAATTTCCCCTCAAAATGTTAATATCGGTATAGTTAGATTGGCGAGTGCGTTGCTTTTCATATGGTGAGAATTGGAACGTTAACACAAAACGGGCAAGTGTTATTTGGCATTCCACAGCATGTCAATGTCGCCGTGATGCTAGAAACAATACAAAAACGATACAGGTTGGAATTAGTAAATCAACAAACACATGAATTTGAGCTCCTGTCCGTGTGTTCAAAATATCCATCAAACCATCAGCTCTACGCTCGTTTGGGACACACCGGCTGAAAACCGTCAGCTCTACCGGTGACCGGGGGTCACTGACCTGCCAGAGGGGGTCACTGACCTGCCAGAGAGCACATGGCCTGGTGCTCGCCATCCTTGTTCTTCCGCTGGCTGGCGAACCGGTCTGGAATGTCCAGCGATAGGTCCAGAAACGGGTCGTGCTTTTTCGACTCTGTCCGGCAGATCAGACACGTGACCTGAAACACACAGAGATGACGCGTCAGGTCAGAGATCAAATGCGAAGGGCGCCTAAACCAAGGATGGTTTGGGAGACGGATTGTTCAGATAACAGCGCGACAGAAGCTGTCAAGTTTTCACCTCTGGATGTAACCAATGCCAACGCCATGCCAACCATATGACAATGTGTCACATAGAGGAGGCGCCTAGCATGATAAGTCAGGATTAAGGATATATGGCAAGTCGTTACGATTTACGCAGTTCGGTGCGTCAGCTGCCAATGTGTCAGCCTCAATCAATGAAAGCATTACACGTTGCCATTAAAGGCACGCCGCATAGTTTGTCGTGAAACAGCGCACAATACCGGATACCCAATAGCATTTCTACGGCAATTATGGACTGCTCTTGACGACTAGAGCTAAAAACACCGTGACTTCTAGGCCAGGGCACCAATAAAGCTTCCCCGTCCTCCGCAATCCCATCTACAGAAGAACAATATCCAGATCAAAACTCAGTATCCAAGCACAAAAGAACATCTAATCAAGACCAGAAAAGACACTTCGGGACTTCTCAGTCGCCCACTCGACTAATCGCTGAACTCCATCGAAGAACTCTTGACGAGCGTCTCACATTACCTATGCCTGCAAAGAATCGATGGTCGAGCGGGCAGGCGACATTTGAGAGCACTTGTGTCTTTCGCCTGGCAACGCATCCGGCTATACCAAGGAGTCAGGTTCAATCGGAAGCGGGCCGTTGGTTCCCAGCCATCCGTGCTTGGGCAGCAGTATCGACCCAACTGGTCAGACCGTGGTAAATTTAGGCACCAGAGGCCAACAACAGCATGTGGGATCACTCGTGCAACACCTAATCAAAGTGTGCATACGAGTATGTGGAAGCAATTAAGGAGAAAGACGTGGGATTCAGCAAGACATAGTTTCTTTTACTCAGACCGTCACTGGCCTCCCAAAACACGTCCCACCTGTGAATCAGCGCATAGCAATGTGGAAAAGAGTTACATTCATATTGCATACAACTATGCATACTGATCAAAATTTCACAAAATATCGCGCCTACTTCAGCCTTCCACTTACAATACAAAATATACTCAAAGCTTCAGATCCATTCCCCAAAATGATAAGCCCGCCTAGCACAAGAAAGCTTTCCACTTACAATAAAAAATATACTCAAAGCTTCAGATTCATAGAGCCAACCTTCCCGTGACCCCTTTCCGGGTCTGATCGCTTCCCACACAAATAACTCAGCTAGCCGCACGCTATTCGCCGCACGATTCTTCCTGCCAGAGCGTCCATCCGGGCAGGCCTGCAGAATTCAGTACCAATCGCGGCCCTCAATGCGTCATGACCCGTTCTCATCGCGGCGTCATGGACACGCGCGAGGGCTGTCAATCCTCGAGCGGTCAGCAGCGGCAGAGGACATGGTTTGAGCGGCATGCGGCAGCATGGCGGTAGCGGCGAACAGCGGACCAGCGAGCGGCGGCGAGGAGTTGTCTTTCGTAGTATACGCAGCGCACACTTTATGAGCTGTCCGGTATCCTAGGAAACGCGTCCAGTTCCCTTCTCGTATATAACACGCCAAGGCAGTGACGCACAATCTAATGGAGCCATCGGAGGACAATCAAGGGGCGTCATTACGGTAAGCGGACAGGATCTGGGCCTCAGCGGAAGCACCCATCCACCCCAGATGCCTTATCAGGTAATTCACCGTGGCGCCCGGCCGTAAATTAACTGAGACCATTGCTGATTCCAGGCTCAGGAGCGCTGAGCGCCGGCTGAACACAATGTCGGCCTGCATATTCAATTGCAATACTGCTAAGTGTTTGGGTAAGCGGCTGGTCCCGCATGTATAGTGGATAGCTTGGGTTAACTTATAACTAGCTGTGGTTGTTAATCTACTAGCATTTGCAAACGCACCTTACGTAGTTGGGGCAAACGCCACACCTTTAAGAAGTAATCAAACAGAATAGCAGTGCCTTTTTTAGACAGTAAACAGATGACGAGTTCCTCTACTTGTAACTAGAGGGAGGGAGGGGCCAATTTCATCTCGTGCTTTAATTTTGATGTCTTTGACCTCTTGTCGATCGATCGACCGGTTGCAGTGGATTTCAGTTATAAAAAACCTCACGGGGTCGAGCCAGAGGGTTCGTATTGAAATTATCCAAGTAAATGATGAAGTACTTGTATGAAGAGCATTATGACATATGTTTCTTTTAAAGATAACCGTGAAATTATTCACCTTAAACACTACATTAACCCTCTCTCTCCCTTCCCTCCTCTCTCTCTCTCTCTCTCTCTCTCTCTCTCTCTCTCTCTCTCTCTCTCTCTCTCTCTCTCTCTCTCTCTCTCTCTCTCTCTCTCTCGCAACAGCGGAATACACATCACAGAGAAACAGGAACGGAGACGAAACAATACCATATTCGGAGAAATGATGAATGAAATGATGATGAAACGTGAAGACAAACAGAAGCAGCCAAAGGTAGGCCTGCCGGGATAAACAGAACTCTGCTGCATCATGGCCTACAAAGAGATCTTATCATCAAACGTAAACATCGCTAGATAAGACTGGCGTTCATCACAGAAAGAGAAGCCTTGGTAATTATCAGACACAATGTAGGTCACATGTTCTAAGTTATAAAGATGTTTATTTCAACGACGATATCAAATTTTAGGAGTGGTCATTAAATAATTTCCAGCCCCGTCTCAAGCGTTTCGCTAAGATGCTTAGCTTTTGGAGACATGCGGGGGTGAGCAGCTAACTCTTCAGTTGACGACGTTAAACTGAAGGCTAAGTGAAGCACAGGTTAAACGAAGTGATGATGCACTGATAATAGGTAATATGCCACTTATGAAACATACACCGTGATTGAGCCAACTCGATAAATCAAGATTGTTACTTAGTTCACGTAAGACTCTTCTAAAATGAATACAATCACTATGAAATGTAACACCCAACTGAGTGGGTAAGACTACTCGCATCATTCGCTTTTTTCTACCCAAATGCAAATGGCTCTATGCGTGTGTAGTGAGCATGCAAGTTCACTCAATATACCATTGATAATTATCTCCATAGTCGTATTCTTTGGAACTTGTGCGGCAAATACGGGGAAAGAAGCTGCAGTGTAGGTACTATAATGGCATTGCAACAAAGTTCGTGTCAAGTTTAGATTGCATACGGAGAAGCGATCGTAGGTCACCAAAGTTGCAATGCATACACAATAGGCACAACTCTGAGAAATAACGGCAAAACTCACAGTTCGGACCCGGCCGAAACAAAACCGATGTTCCAAAACAACGAATCGCTTCTGGAAATCGCACACAACGTAGTCGCAGAGATCCACGGTGAAGGACGCCGAGGAATTTCAAACCGAGTCTGCATCATAATCCAACAGTTCTTTGAGGCGAGGGCACGTCGTGCTGTGAAGCTAGAACATTGGTCCGGAAATACCACAAAAGGGAGTCGATTGGTTTAGAAGCTCCTTTTGCGCCTGGGAGGCCTCCAACTTCCTAGAAGCGGCACAAAAAGATTCAATAATATTTGAACCGCCGCCATCAACGGCTCCAGAGTCCGTGCTAGTCCGCATTACTATTGACTGGGCATAAACACCAAAAAGTGGATGATACCATAGCGCACTCACATGCATGCATGGAATTTGCATGGCATCTCTAAGTCGAATGGGACATCAAAAAAAAAAAAAAAAAAAAAAAAATCAAATCAATCCTTACTTCATCCCTCACCAACCCCTACACTTAACACAGATAGTCTGTAATATACCCATTACCCAGGTTCCCGCATTTCAATGCACCTTTAAAGAGTTCGTGTAGCCCCTCCACCTTCCACTTAACCTCGCACTGGAGTCTCTGTCGCCCTTTCGCATCGCTATGGTCCGTCCCCCAAGATCGTCCTCAAATCACCTCGTTTTGAAGCGTCCCTCCAACCCCTCAGTGTGTCCCTCCTCCATCTCCCTAACACCTCGTCCCTCAGTGTCCCTCACCTCGTCCCTCCGTATCCCTCACCTCATTCTGAAGCATGTGTCCCTCTCAGTGTCCCTCTCACTTCGTTCTAAAGTGTCCCTCATTCCTCTTCATCGCAACTCGTCCCTCCTGTGACCCTCCTGACCCTCAGTGTCTATCCAACGTCTCCGTATCCCTCGGTGTCCCTCACCTCGTCCCTCCGTATCCCTCACCTCGTTCTGCAGCGTGCCTCCGAACACGGATGTGACGATTGAGGATCGCGCCGCCTGCGACGGAGCGCTGGACGTCGGTAGCAGCGTGAGCATCTCCGTGTGCAGCCGGTCCAGCATGTAGCGCAGAAACTCGTGCGCGTCCTGCTGCTGGTACCCCCTGACAGCGGAGATACACAAGACATTGTAGACAACGAAACGATACGAACACAAGGTGACGCAGACACGACCGAGATCTTAGCACTGGCACTTAGAGATACTAGGCGAAACGGTCCATGTTAGTATAATACTAAAAAGGAGAAAAGTGTTCAAACATCACTCAACATGAAATGCACGGTTTGTAGCAAGAGAGATGATCTTGTGATCTTTTGGGATCCTTCGCCATCACCTGCTGGTTACTGGAAATGTCCAGCAAGTCAAATAATGCTAATAAAAACAAATCTATAAATACAGAAGAGCGAGAAAATGTAGAGCGAGAAGATATATTATCTACCAACATCACTTCCACGTGACTTGCAATGTTCAGGAAAAATAATAAATAAACAAAAATAATAAAAGTAAATGAAATAGAGCGAAAAGGCACGTCATAAGCTTTTGTGTCCACATCAATAAGCATCTCTTGTGATCACCGTCTATTAGCCTAACCGGAATAGACTGCCACCAGCCCCAGCGCCCGCACCCAACTCTTATAACCATTGACATGATCACTTTACAGGACTGTAGACATCCACCCCACTTATCCCTCCGGAAAGTCCGTGTTTGCCCCCGCTGGGTACGCATGATAATATAAACGTTACATGTACCGGAAATCAATTTGTTAGTGGTATGATATGACAGCACAGGTTAGGGCAGATTGCCGAGAGGTCCCGACTCTTTGTAGCTATGGCAAACTAATGATCAAAGTAGGCGTGGACGTGAAACTTAGAAGCTTGTTGCTTTGTCAGGTTTATAGGCGGCGGAACGGGGGGGGGGGGCACCAGGGCACCGTCCCCCCTTGATTTTGGCATTTCAACATCAGCTCTATGGGCGTTGCATGGAAAGAATGGGACCAAAAGTCGGCAAAGCCCCCCCTCCCCCTTAATTGAAGGTGTTCTGCCGCTACTGGTTAGGTTAGGACGTTTTAATTATTGAGCTATGAGATGTGATGATCAGCGGGGGATTCCTTCCTCTCCCGTACTTCCTCCTCCCTTCCAATCCTTCCCGACTTCCTCTCTCCCTCCATCCCTCCCGGCTCCCATCCATCCTCACCTGAACCGGGGCACCACCTTCCATATGACGGAGAACAGCGCCTCGGGCGAGATGGCGCTGGAGGAGGTGCTCAGCTCCACCAGCACCTTCCGCAGCTCCTCAGTCATCAGCTCCCCGTTCAGGTCACGTGTGCTCCGGGTCACCTGGGTCAGAGAGTCAGAGGTCACGTGTACGCCGGGTTACCTGGGTCAGAGGGTCAGGGCACAGGTCAGGGGTCACGTGTACGCCGGGTCACCTGAGGTCAAAGGTCAGAGCAGAGGTCAGATGTCACGTTCTTCGGCTCACCTGAGGTCAAAGGGTCAGGGTAGAGATCATACTATAGGTCAGAGGTCAGGTGTACGCCGGGTCACCTGAGGTCAAAGGTCAGAGCAGAGGTCAGGGCACAGGTCAGAGGTCAGGTGTACGCCGGGTCACCTGAGGTCAAAGGTCAGAGCAGAGGCTACAAGCAAGACATACACGCGCTGTGAACGGAGGTCAATCGAGGTTCGGTAGCCGTAGTAGATAAACATTTTCAGTCGCGATGAGTTCAATTGAGGCGGCTGTTGCGTATCATGTTACTAATCACGTTACACTTACTTGAACTTATCTTTGCTACTGTAATTTCTTAATTAAGCCCAACGAGTCATCCAGTGACTTCGAATTGTGAAATCATAATTACGTTGAGGAAATGTGCTGCGCAAAAGGCCGAGGAGTTCATTGACATCGCACTCGTCATCAGCTGCGCAGAATTTATCCAAATAAATCCGAGAGTCGCTCGCGCTCTCCGAGCGACCCCCTGTCGAGGGTCGCTCGGAGACCCTCGACCCTCGCCTGGCCTGAGGACAGAGAGAGAGAGAGAGAGAGAGAGAGATAGAGCAGGAAGGAAGAGGGCAGAGCGAGCCAGCCTTGTTGATGAGTGTGAGCATAACACGCTGAAAAGCCCCAGTTATGTACCAAATCAATGAACGAGTATTGCCGACAGTATTGTATCGTATCGTTTGGTATCGTATAGCCGACCAACAAGATCAGTGTCGGATCGTTTTAATGCATCCAAACCCAATTACCATCTGCCGGAAGTCATTTGTTCTGCGCGGACCACACGCCGGTACTGGACACCGTCGGTAGCACCTATCCGACATTCTGGATAGCAGCTACAAGTGGAAGCGCCCCGTGACACAGAACCGCCTCGGGGGACGCGCGGGAAGCCGCGAACGCCGGGAGGGAGGCACAGGAGCCGTCACCGCCAGACGGCCCCGACTCGACGTGACCTATGGCGGGCGCCGCGGGCGAATTTGCCGTCTGATGGCGCCAGACGCGGTCACGTGTCAGCCAGAAAGGCCGCCTGGTGAGACACTAATGCAGTCACGTGGCCGGCAGCTTGGCACCAGCATGGTCCATTGTGGTAATAGGAGCGAGAGAGAATCCCAAAATGGTCATTGATCAAGGGGAGTGGAGCTAGCTTTCTGCATAAAAACCCAAACGTATCACACCACGTACGCCATGGATGAAAACATTGTAAACTGAATATATTGTACATGATTGAACATAGAACGTTCATTGCACAGTCCTCACAGGTGGCGTGTCTTTCAGCTATATCGCCGGAGGCGGACGGCTGTGCCCTCATTCAGCCCTCTTGGTCTGGTGGACCCGGGTCGTGGGCGGACCATCGCGCTGGTCACGCGCGCTGAAAACGCACCGAGTGCTTTGCTGTGTTCGGAGCGATGGTCACGCTACCGAACACGAGCCTGGTCGGCCTGCAGGACAGACCCGGTTTTTTGCTGCCGACTAAAAGCCAATAGCAGATAATAGAGGCCTATCAGATAACGATAATTTGCTTTTTTCATGGATATATGATATTTCACAGATGTTGGACAAATTGCGAATGTCAAATAATGATGCCGATCATTTGCTATCTTCCGCTTACATATAAAAAGCTATCCGAGACGCACACATCAAACATTAGACGGATGTAGCGCACAATTCCTCTCTTACGTGTACAATTCCGAGGAAATATCTCTTCTCTAAGACAATTGGCAAAGAGTCGATTGGCAATAAGGACCATCATGTAGCTGTGCAGCAGTTGTATTGAACATTAAATATAATACTGTCCCCATTGCGACCGTTTTCAAGTGTTGCAGGACTTGCGAAATATAATAAAATTTCCAGCATGATGAACTCATGATGAACATGATGAACTGCCTAACCTCCATCTGAGATTAGACACACCATCTAGCTATTGCCTGTACATACTGTCCAAACATCCGCCGACCTAGCTATCGCTACACTCGCTCATCAAATAAATTAATTTGCCCGGACATAATCATTGGGTTGATTACATGGAATAATCTCCATGCATACAAGCAGCGAAATTCTTGTGTGGCCCAGCGAAATAATTCAACACATGACAATTCTAACGGAACGGAAAGAAACCACGTATCTAGTGGTACGACCATTCCTACAGCGCACAGTGATGCAAATGGGGTTCACGAGTGGCCATAAATACCAAAAAGTCAAGTTTACCAAACCGAGTAAATCGCTATATTATATGGCTAACCAAAGAAATGTTTGGCGCATCTGAAATCACATAGTTTTCATATTTTTGTCAAAACCGGCCTCGTGTATGATTTTCAGAAGTCGTGACATTTTCTATGTCGTAAAATGACTGTCGGATACTTGCTAGTTCAAATGCCGCTAGCGTGCGTTTATTAAATACAAACTGCAAAAAATATACATGACAATGATCCCTAAAGCCTGCTGCTTCTCATGGCGGGTCACAAAAAGCCATATCTTTTTTTGCTTTGGCGGTGATCTAATCATTTGTCATCATGTTGCAATCGCAGTTCTTTACTAAAAGAATATTTGCTTTCGTTTCACCTACAGCAGTTTACACAGTGTGTGCCCGTTAGTGCACCATACCATAACAATCCCTAACCATTTCTGAGTCACACCATGAAAGAATTAGGGCGCTAGCACAGGGCAGACCGGCGCTATTGAAGTTTTTGTCCGGAGCGGTTGGGTGTCGCGGTCGGGGCGGATTGCTTTCACCGCGGATTGCAATTTCGACAGACGTTTAACTTTGACCTGCTATAAGTAGGTCAAATATTGACCTTAACTCAAAAGTAAGATGCTCACTCGCGAGATCTGGTCAAGAGCAATCCGTTGGCTTTTGTCGCGAGGTGTTAGGACACTTCGTTTAGGAACAGCAGAGGGATGCACGGCCACGGGTGGAGAATGTTTGAAAAAGTTACCCCGGCCGGCGACCGAAAGTCAGAAAGACGATGATGCTCAAATATTTGTCAACGGTTATCAACAAACCCCTAGGATGTCTGCCGTTTGTACGTTTTTAGGGAAAACTGCTGCACGCAGGTGCGAAAGATTTCGTAATTGTAACAACAATTTTGCAACACGCCTTAAAATTTCGGACGCATGTCACCTAGTGCTAGGTCAGGTCATCAGGTCAAATTTGCTGGATGATCGTGCTAATGCCCTTTGCAAAGCTTATTCCGTGGAAGTTGCAAACTTCCCACACAAAACAAAATGTCAAATTTGACCGTTTTGGCCCTCTTATTGATTTGAGCTCGCACCTGAAATATGATTTACCTACCTACTTCTGTTTGATGAAACATGTCGGGCTCTGCGATGAAAAAACTTTAAAACATAGAAGCTCCAAAATGAAAATAATAAAGTAAATTTTCAATAACTTTTCAAGGTAGATAAGAATAATGAGAGACGCTTTTATAGATGGCAGTTTTTTTCGTATGGAGACAGCTTTTAGGATTTACAAAAGTGGGAAAAGTTACCCCGGCCGCGCCGGGGTCGGCTGAAAGTTACCCCGGCCACGGCCGGGGTGGCCGGGGCAGGTTCTCCACCCATGGATGCACCGACGGACCCCCGCTGTGGCCGCCCGCCCGCGCCGCCCACCGCGTCGCGGCACCCGACCGCAACGGACGAAAACTTTAGAAGCGCCGGTCAGCCCTGTGGCAGCGCCTTCATTCTTTCACAGTGCGGCTCAGAAATGATTAGGGAATGTTATGGTATGGTGCACTAACGGGCACACACTGTGTAAACTGCTGTAGGTGAAACGAAAACAAATATTTTAAATAAAGAACTGCGATTGCAACATGATGACAAATAGTTAGATGAGCGCCAAACCAAAAGAGATACGGCTTTTGTGACCCTGCATTAGAAGCAGCAGACTTTGGGGATCATTGCCATGCATAATTTTTGACATTTGTATGAAATGAACGCACGCTAGCGGCGTTTGAAGTTGCGAGTATCTGACAGTCATTTTACGGCATAGAAAATGTCACGACTTCTGACAATCATACACGAGGCCGGTTTTGACAAAAACATGAAAATCGTGTTTTTCAGACACCCCAAACATTTGACTGACCTGGCCATATGACGATTTATTCGATTAGGCGAACTTGAAATTTGGGCCTTTTCGGTATTTATGGCCACTCGTGAACCCCATTTGCATCACTGTGCAGCGTCGGCTTTGAGAATACAGCACAAGCTTTCACCAAGAGCAATCAGGCAAACTGCCCGTATGTATGTATATGGGCGGCAGCTGATTAAAGGCTACTTGGCCTAGCCTGCACCGAGCCTCTTATAACAAGAGCGCACTCCCAAGCTCTCAGGCAGCTGTACAAGAAAAATGAACGCACTGAGAAGGCAAACAACAAAGCGCGTTAGGCGCATTAAACAAAATAACCTACAAAGAAACATAACAGCCATGCGTTAACTTGGAATGGCGGTACATCGCGATTCTTAGCATGGATAGCGGCAGGTCCTGATTCGCGTTATCAATGCGTGTGTTGAGGAGATGTGATTTTCCAGTAACTCCTTAGGAGCGCTCGCAGCAGCAATTCGAGTTACTCCTCAGCGGCACAGACCGGGTGAACACACACAAGAACAAACACATAGCCCGTAATGCGTCTGGGGAATGCTACGGGGAGATCAGCCACCCTTATCTGGCGAGACAACAGGCGACAAGGGCGGCTTACGGTGGACCCACAGCGCACAACTGCGAGAACGGCGCTTGAAGGAAAAGAGAGGACTGAAGATTGCGACCACAGATTACCTGGTGAGTGGACGTATGGTGTAATTTGTGCATGCTTTACGCTGAGCTATTTGAGCCGTTGAGTGCAGTTAAGGTTAACCA